GTAGTATCATTATCGTTGTGCTGTAAACTATTCATTGATTTTTATATTTTTATAACAGGTTTTATCTATATAAAGTTAATATGTTATTGTTTATTGGTTTATTACAGTATTCTCATTCCAGTTCAGCATTATTATTCATATTATTAATAATAATCATATTATTATCATCATTGTTGTCATTATCGTCATTAGTGGCAGTAGTAGTATTTAATACAATTAAAGTATATACTGTATATATATATATATATATATATATATATATATATATATATATATATATATATATATATATATATATTTGTAAAATATTGTCATGCTTATTTGCTTTTAAAATGTTTTATTTATGTTTTATTTGTTTTGTTTTTAGCATCTTATTTTTTTTTCTTTTTTTTTATTTATCAGCATATATTACAATTGAATAAATGAAATCCTAGTCTTCCACTAGTTTCCCACCAGTGACAATATACAGCCATATCTCACTACCACAAGTATGACATTGCATTCATACAACAGTTTGGCAGCATAATCATGTGTATAAAAAAGAAAATCAAACATGGAGAGTCTCAAAGAACTGCTTTCTTCCACCACTCATTCATATCTGCAGCTGATGGTCAGAACAACAGAAACTTACTAATTCACCAATATCACTTTAGAGCTAGTATATGAATGATTCTCTAGCCCAATGTCTAAAGCAGTGGTTCTCAAACTTTTTTCATCAAGTACCACCTCAGAAAAAAAAAAAAGTCTGTCCAAGTACCACCAAAATCAGCAGTATTGAAATACAATAGCGTAGTAGGCCCAGTAACGCAGCTACAGCTCTGCACAGTTTAAAAAACGTGGCAGATTACCTTGGAAATATAGGCTATATGTCATATATGGCATATTATATACATCAATGATAAAATTTGATACAATTTTTAAATGTGTGTAGCATGTACATTACATATTTCATTCCTCTGCGTACCACTAGAAGGAAGACTGCGTACCTCAGTTTGAGAACCACTGGTCTAAAGTGATGACAAAACAGTTGATTTTGCTCACATTTTAAGATTATAAGGCTGAACGGCATGAAATGCTATCAGTCTACAGAGATTTTCCAGTAGTTTTCTGATGCAATTGGAAGATCACAATAATTAACCCTGAAAACACCAAAACAAACACTACCAGAGTACTATGGTATAAAGAGAGCGCTACAAAATACAAAAGAGAGAGAGATCGACTTAGAACAGGAGTCACCAAACTGGTTCCTGGAGGTCCGTTGTCCTGCAGATTTTAGCTCCAACCCTAATCAAAAACACCTGAATGAGCTAATCACGGTCTTACTAGGTACACTTGAAACACCCAGGCAAGTGTGTTGAGGCAAGTTGAAACTAAACTCTGCAGGGCACCAGACCTCCAAGAACGAGATTGGAGACCCCTGACTTAGGGTGCTTTCACACCTACACTTTTGTTTCGGAACGTATCTCGTTTGCCCAGTCAGCGCGGTTCGATTGGCATATGTGAACAGGGCAATCGCGCTCTTTTCCGCGCCAAAGTAATCGCTCCGAGATCACTTAAATGAGGTGGTCTAGGCTCGATTGAAACGAACCCTGGAGCGGTTCGATTGCAGTGAGAAAGCGATCCAATCCGAGCGCAGTTATATCACAGTGTTTTATGGATATGTAATAGGCTTACGCCTATATGAAGAGAGAATTATGAGTAGGGCGGGAAGTTTCGCGAGTCTCCGGATGCCCGCAAACGAGTGATGATCTCCCGGTAATCTCGCGTCTCTCTCCCAGTCCTCAAATAGCCATTGTCGCGCACCCTTCTCACCCCTCCCCACCGTGTCTCTCCTCAGACACGTCACGCGCGCACCCTGTCAATCACCACCAAACCACCACCTCTCCTGACAGCTTAGCGGGACACTGCAAAATAAACCCTGAAACTCTGACCAGTGTGAGGAGAGTTTACTTGCACGTGACTTGTTTTAGCTCTTTTGGTCCGATTAGAAACTTTGCAGTGTGAAAGCGAACCGCTCCAAGAGCAAAGAGCAACAATGTAACAATTTTAATCTCTGTTTCGGAACAACGGAATCGATTCACAGGTGTGAAAGCACCCTTAGAACGTCATTTACTTGTTTTTTATAATGAATTGATTATCCGCCAATGTGGTGAATCTTTAAAATGATATAGTTAAAATAGGCACTAACCATATAAATAAACTGCATAGTTGCAATCTAAATAACTCCATTTTCACCTAAAAAAGTACATTATGTTGTCTAACAGCTGCAATATTTGTCTAACTGTAGTCCTCGGTATGCTTGCAACACCATAGATTGGGCAAAGTAATACACAAGGGTGAATAGCCTGAGTGCTGTTATTGTAAAATGCCTCACGGCTATCAGCCAATCAGAATTGAGGTACAAACAGAACTGTTGAATAAATATGTTCATGGCAACTAAAGACTGTTGAATTGTGGAAAAAGAGAGAATCTTGTTTTAATCTAGTCTAATTTGGCCATAATTCAGACAAATACACAACTTCCATTACGGTGATGTAATAATACTTATAATGCAATATAGATATATTTTTCGCATTACAGTTATGAGATTTTGAGAATAATATGCTTAATTGGCTTCAATATAATCTCTAAAGGGGCAGAAAAAAATGTTTTATTTGTTCTTAGCAGGTTGTGAAAGATTCCCTCATGCACACTTTCCTCTTTGTTTGAGTGTTGTTATGAGCTGAGCAGCTTTTATGGTCTGTGTGTGTGTGTTTGTGTGTGTGTGTGTGAGTTTGAATGCTAATGCTCTCATGTATCCTGCAGTGAGCGTTTTCTCTCTCTCGCTCTCTCTTTCCCTTCCTCTTTTAGAGATCCAGTCTATTTATAGCTGCTTCTCCCAGTGTTATCATGCCTACTGATGTTGTTTTGCCTTTCCACATAATTACAAATCCTGCTTTAGGAGATCTGTTGCGTGTTCATTTCATGTGCACTGAGGATTTTCTTTTCCAGTTTGATAACAGGTTTTAAAGGATGTAAATACAAATGCGGCAACAAGAGAAAGACGTACTGTTTACATTGAGTAGGTTTTATGCCTCAGTGTTGAATCTTCGGCTGATGAAATACTGAATATAGGCTACTGAGTGACTGATGAGTCAGTTATTTGTTATAATGTTGTTTTATTTTCAAGATCTGAGGTGATGATCTGCTGCTGCTTTCAGTACTATGACAATAAATGTCATGTAAAACGGTATTTAATCTCATGTTTAATAAAGCCCTTAATCGGTACCTGAGGTGATCATTGTCATTGTAGTTTATGCTGTTGTGATGTTGCGTAAATAGAAAGAAAATTAAATTTTTGAGCATCGTTGTCGCAGATGGTCAGGACAAAAAAAGTCATTTTAACATGAAAAAGATAGCTTTTATTGAATGTTGTGACATTGTTTTGCATATTGTTAATATGAAACAACACAAAAGTTAATATAGAAGTTCAACATTTTTTGGTTTATCTTGCTTTCTGGCTGTCTCTCTGTCTGTAGTTCATTTGTTTCATCTACCATTTTCATCAATACATCATTCGTTCTCACTATCATATCTGTTCTTCTTGCTATTACTAATGTTCTCTGTCTATCTGTAACCGCGGGGAGTGACACATACAACTGAGGTTTGGATCCACGTGCAGGTTTATTCGTTGTCAGGCAAGCAATGTTCAATACATGTGCAAATGGGTATGTGAAGGCCATCCAGAATCAGTAACAGGCGAAAGGTCAAAAGGCAGGCGGCAGACAAAGACAAGGAGGCTAACAAGGCTAAGGTCGGTACACAGGATAACAGGACTAGGAAACGCGTTGTAGTGCTACTTACAGTAAACAAGACTCGGCAAAGTGAATAGGTGAGTGTGTAGCTTAAATAGTGTGTGCAAACAGTCTCTGACGATCCTCAGGTGGTGCGAGTAATCAGTCTAGATGAGGAAGCATATGTGAGTGTGACTGGAGTGCATGTATGAAAATGTAGTCCATAAATGGTAGATTTGTAGTCCATGGTTATTGTTAGTGCAATCCAGCGATCTTATGAAATACGATCGCTGGTAATTGTGACACATTCTGTATGTTGGTTGTTTGTTTGTTCTACTAATATTATCGATTTGTTTCTATTATCAGTTGTTTCTGTCTATCTGCCTGTTGTTTGTTTCATTTTTTTATTTCTTTTGTATCGTTCTGTCTATCTATTTGTCCATCCATCCATCCATCCATCCATCCATCCATCCATCCATCCATCCATCCATCCATCCATCCATCCATCCATCCATCCATCTTTCTATCTGTCTTTCATTTTTTCCATCTATCTGTCTTTCTGTAATTTTTTTATTTTTCCATCCATCCATCCATCTATCAATCCATCCATCAATCCATCCATATTTTTTCATTCTTTCTATCGTTTTTTATCCTTCCATCCATCCATCCATCCATCCATCCATCCATCCATCCATCCATCCGTCCATCCATTCAGTGTTTTTTCTTTTTGTCTATTGTTCTTCTATCATTTTTATTTTTTCCATCCATCCATCTTTCTATCGTTTTCTGTCTATTGTTCTTTGTTTTGTTTATATTTATCCATACATCATTCTTTATATCTGTCTATCATTCTTTCTATAGTTTTTAATTTTTCCATCCATCCATCTTTCTATCATTCTGTCTGTCCATCGTTTTTTATATTGTTTTTATCTATCTATCTATCCATCCATCCTTCCATCCATCCATCCATCCGTCCATCTATTGTTCTTTCTATCTATCTGTCTGTTATTAAATCTATCGTTCTATCTGTCTATCGTGACTGAACATTAATGCCTCACAATCGCTTGCCATCTCTTCCCTCTTCTCTGGCAAATGTCCATATGTTGCATATGTAATTTGTGTGCAGAGCTGTAATACAATATCCTGATGACTTATGCTTCCCTGATCCTCAGCGCTACACTGCATTTCTCAGTTGGAATCATTTCTCTTTCTCTCTCTGTCCCACAGATGGACTTCCTAGTAAAGAACAGCCACTGGAACTTCTCAAGCCATCTGGAGTCAACCACATTCCTCCTGGTAGGACTGTCAGCATGCGTGTGTGTGTGTGTGTGTGGGCGTGTGCTTATGCGTGTGTGTGCATATGGCTCTATTCAAAATTGTCAGCAAGGTCAAGGGTCAAAGTTCATCAAGCAGGTCATGGAATAAGATGCTCTGATTGGCTTCTTTGACACAGTTGAGGTGGAGTTTGTTATACACAAGTTGTAATTCAGCATGCCGAAAGCTAGACTGACATGTTCATGGGAAGAGAAGTGTGAAAACGACAATTTTAAAGGTATAAAAATAATAATGACTATATTTTAAAGTGGCTATGATAACAATGCGATGTATGTTGATTGTCATTCTATCATTTGTTCATTATATCTGTCGTTCATTCTTTTGATGCATCATTTATTGATTTTGTTGATTGTTTGTTCTGTCGTTTGCTCTATTGCTTGTTCGTTCTAGCATACTATAGTTTTTTAATTAATTTTCCTTTTGCTTAGTGTCTGATTTATCAGAGGTTGCCACAGTGCAATGAACCACCAACCTATGTTTAATGCAGCAGATGCCCTTCCAGCCACAACCGAGTACTGGGAAACACCCATACACACTTATTCACACACACTCATACACTATGGCCAAATTAGTTCATTCAATTCACCTACAGCGAATGTCTTTAGACTGTGAGGGGAAACCAGAGCACCTGGAGGAAACCCACACGAACATGGGGAGAACATGCAAACTGACCCAGTCAGGGCTTCAGATACCTTCTTGCTGTGAGGCGGCAGTACTAACCACTGAGCCTCTGTGATGCCCGGATTCTTTTGTTTATTTGTTCTATAAGATGGTCTTGATGTCTACATTGACACTGCAGAAATTAAGATTTGTTTTATTTGTCTTTAAATAAGTTTTAGTACAATGGAAAAATTAGCCATCAGATGCGTATTGATTAGTTTTCATTGACCTGTACTGTCAGATCTGTACTGTTAAAATGCAGATGCCAGGGTTAAATTGATGCAAATAAAAATGGTTCATTGACAAATGAAAGATGTTTATTTTCAGTAGGAGCGATAGATTGTTTTTTGTGCTTCAGCCAAAATATTGAATATTGATGAAATATCGAAAATATGACAACAATTCCAATTTCAGGGATAAAAAAGCACTGTGGATTTTTGTGACTGGATATATACAGTTGACGTCGGAATTATTAGGCCCCTCCCTGTGTATTTTGTCCCCAATTTCTGTTTAAAGGAGAGAAGATTTTCTGAGAGAAGATGTGTTTAGAACACATTTCTAAACATAATAGTTTTAATAATTCATCTCTAATAACAGATTTTATATTTATTTGTAAAAACTGATTTTATATTTACATTTTATTTATATTTGCTATGATGACAGTACATAATATTTTTCAAGGTTCTAGTATTCAGCTTAAAGTGACATTTAAAGGCTTAACTAGGCAAGAAAAAAATACAAAAAAATATATATTTCTTAAGGGGGCTAATTCATTCATTCATTTACTTGTCGACTTAGTCCCTTTATTAATCCGGGGTTGCCACAGCGGAATGAACCGCCAACTTATCCAGCAAGTTTTTACACAGCGGATGCCCTTCCAGCCGCAACCCATCTCTGGGGAATAAGGGGGCTAATGTTATTGGTTAATTATTGGAATGGTTTAAAAAAAATAAATAAAAACTGCTTTTATTCTAGCCGAAATAAAACAAGTAATTCTTTCTCCAGAAGAAAAAATATTATCGGAAAAACTGTGAAAAATGCCTTGCTCTGTTAAAAATACTTTGGAAAATATTTTAAAAGAAAAAAATAAATGGGAGGGCGATTCACTTCAACTGTATATCTGTGCGCGTGCATGTGTGTGCATATGGCTCCAAGCCGACTAGTATCAAGTATTAGAGTTCATCAAAACAATCCACAGAGTCACTGAATACGGTGCTCTGATTGGCTGTCTTGATGCAGTAGTAAGTGATGTGTTTTATCGCTCTGTAGACACATTTTATTTTTTATGTAATCTCATGATTGTAATCAGATGCAAATTTATTATGTTTTAGAATGATTGACAATCTTACTGCAAGTTTTATTTGGAGCCTGGTTATTTTTTGGTGGTAGAGTTATATGGTTTATTAATATAATTATATATTGAATTGATTTATATAGATATGTTGTCTATTATGTTTTTGTTGTGTATCGTGGTCACTCTTAAAAAAAAAAGAGATTACAAATGTCAAGAGTTTTTTCCTGGTAAAATAAATAAATAAATAAGATTTAATAATAACAATAAATAAATAATGGTAACAACAACTATTATATTAATATTATTATTATTATTAGTAGTAGTAGTAGTGGTTGTAGTGGTAGTAGTATTAGTTATAATGTTGTTCTGTTATTATTATTATTATACCATTATTATTGTTTTTGTTAATAATAATAATAATAATAATAATCACTTTAATTCAGTGGAAAATATGTGACAGTGCTATATATTTAAAGTATTATTAAATATCAGCAAATTTCCACTGTGTGTGTATGTGTTCTCTCGTTTTGAAGCTACAGTAGCAGTGGATTGCTGGTGAGCCACAAACACATTGGTTTGGTCGTGTGGTTTCCCTTTGCTCTTGCTAGAAGAGACAGAGCCTGGCATCTACACACAAACACACACACACACATGTTGGCCTGACCTGAACGCCACACACAGACCGCTGGAGTCTGAGGAGGTACTGCTGTGCTGGAGCTTAGAGATGTATTTACTGTGTGTGTGTGTGTGTGGGTGTGTGTGTGTGTGTGTATTTAAATAGCTTTTTTTGTGTCGAAGTACAGCTGGAGTTGTAGGTTTTGTCTTCGGTTGTGTTTGAAAGGACCTGCTCAGTAAATCCTTTTACACATGAAAGAAAGGCAGGAGGGAAGCATGATTAAAAGAGATTAAAAGGAAACGAGGAATGAAGTAGTGGAATAGATGTGTTTATCTGCGTAATCCCATTTGTTTATATTTTCAATTTTGTTTTTAATTTGGTTTGTTTATCATTTTAAGCAGAAATTGAAAATCATGAATAAATTCTTAGAAATGCTTTTCCCAAACTAAATTCAATTTAGCAACAATTTCATAATGTAAAGATAGTTATTTGAAACCAGGAAAATGCATAATTTATTTATTTATTTATTTATTTATTTATTTATTTATTTATTTATTTATTTATTTATTTATTTAATGTGTGTGTATAAAAATATATTCCATATATAGATAAATGGAATAAATAGTAATAATAATAATAATAAATAATAATAATAATAATATATATTAATATATTATATTCTTAATATATTTTATGTATTAGAATAATAATCAAAATATGTTTTATTTTTCGGCTTAGTCCCTTTATTAATCATGGGTCACCAGCGGCATATGTTTTACCCAGCGGATGCCCTTCCAGCTGCAAATATTATTATTTTACATTAAGGAATATATATAAGCAATACCACACCCGTAGCAGTAAGATCGGCACAGGTGGGAGGTGTGTGCCTTAGTGTCCCACCATTAACGATATACAGCCACATCACACTGCTACGAGTGTGTTATTGCATTTATACAACAGTTCTCAAAATTGTTTGTATAAAAAAGAAAATCAAACAGAGATTTTCAAAACCCTTTTGCTAAAGGAACTACTTTCTTCCGCCATTTCTTCACATCTGCAGCTGATTCAAAATAAATACATGTATAAAAAATGCATATTTTAGGTTGAACAAAAATAACAGTTTTGATCTTGAAGCTTAATTCCAGTTAGAATATGTTTCACTTTGGTTTTATGCTTTTAATTTGTTGCCAGTATATCTAAAAGGCTGATAAACATTGGAAGGGAAAGATTGAATTTAACACGTTTCACAGATCATGTTCATAGTCTGACACTAAACTGGAGGTTTTGGTATTTTGCTGGTCTTGAAGAGCAGTGTGTGCAGGTTTGGAGTGTGTGTCCAGGCTGGTTGTGCTGGGTTTTAAGACGGAGCAGGAAACAGATGGTGCTGAAAGTCTCGCCTGGAGACCTGCTCACTGCCAGCGGCGCCTTTCCACTCGTCCCTCAGTCTGCGCTCCCCTGCTCCTCCATGCTGAATTACTATTGATTGTAAACATGCTCTCTGAACAGGGACCAGTGCTCTTTTATACCGTATGTTTACTGCGTCCGAGTAGACACTAACTGTGCGGGCAGTGATATTGTCAATCAGTCTTTGTGTTTCTGGCCTGATAGAGTGGAGTGTGACGTCTTTTTTTTTTTTTTTTTTTTTTTTTTTTTTTTTTTTTTTTTGGAGCAGCACATACACAGTATGAGACCACCATATGCAGCTTCATGCATTATTCAACATGTGCGAGACATGTAAGCATTAGATATGAAGCAGCTCGTGCTGTTTCTTTAGAAGAAATGCTGTAAAACATGGAGATGCTGCTGTTTATGCAAAGTAGCAAGAATTTGAACTTATTCTAAAAGCATAATTAATTAGCATAAATTTCTGCATAATTCTAAATATAAAAACATTATATATATATATTGATTAACATTTCTTTGTCTTGTAAGAGTTGTTGCATAGTTAACTGAAAAATAAAAAATATATATATTTAAAAAATAATATTATTGTATTTTATCAATAGTAATTTATTATTCATTATTAATTTACTAATCTATTTTAATTTTATTTTTGTGTTATTAAATTGTATTTTTAATTTTTTCCCTCATATTTTTTTTAGGGAAGGAGTTAATAATAATTTATTTATTATTATTATGATTATATATCATGTATATTGTTAGTATAAATTGCATTTTAAACGCTGCATTTTAAGAAGGCTGATATCACTGTTTTCAAGTCTTAGGCCTTAAAAATTCTTGAATTCACTGAAATATTGTGGTGGAGGCCTTAAGTCATTTTAAACAGGTCTTAATTTCTCTCTGTCCAAGTAAAACTTTCCAATCTGGCCGACACCCAATCGTCTGTAATCTATCTCAAAACTTATTTTATTTTATATTTACCTTTTTTTT